GACACGTAAACCTCCTCCACTGCTCGTCCGACCACACCACAACCACTCCCATCCAACGCCTGCAAATCGGCGATATCACGGTAACCAACAAAGGAAGACAGATGGAGAAAAGGAAGGGGAAAACCTGAAAAGAAAAGGAAACAAAGGGGAAAAAGGGGAAACCGGAGCTCCCCCCCAAAACGAACCCACGAGAACAGACCAAGAACCTTCACCGGCGGAAGGAAGAAAACCCCACTGAGGAAGAGAGAAAACCCTCACCACGCTGGGGAGGGACCTGTACTCCCCATATTTGAACTTTGAAAAAACATTGGATGTTTGAACATTTTAAAAGACAAAGTTTGATGTACGTGATGCAGAGAATTAAAAATCAACAAAGGTACACACACAAAATGCTAATGTGCATAAAATATTCATACAGATGTACAAGTTTATGATTAGAGAAACAGATTACTCCAAATAACCAAATCACGTAATAAATAACTTTCAAAAATCAGAACTTAATGTAATTTTGAAGAAACCATAAATCTTAATCCCCTCAGATTCTAAGGTTTCCACGTGAAACCCTAGACAAAGGTAGATCCGAGAGGGTTTCAACCAAGAGATCTAAAAAAAATCTACAGATCGAATGATGATAAGAGATATAGGGTTAGAAACTCGTTACCAAAAATCTCAGTTCAATAGTGTTAAATAGCGAATACCAATACTATTTTACTTTCCTCGTAAAGGTGAAGATCTAACCCTTTACAATATAGATCTGTGAAGATTTAGGGTTTTGATAGTCAAGAACACTAGAAAAAAAATCAGATCGAAAGACTTAAATGCAGAATGAAGAGCTCTGATATCACTATTGGAATAAACAGTTCCACATAACACCAAGAATATAACAGAAATTAAAGAATATCAAGGATTTTTCACCCTTAGGCCCGAATGTTCACCCCAGAAAGAGGCTAATCACCACGTTGAGCATCCACCAAAGTGATTGTTGCTCCAATTCACTAGAAACCAAAAAAATTATTAGTACAAGAATCACAATACAAAAATCCAAAGGATTTAGCCATCAGACTCAGTTTTCTTCTCTCAAGAAATCTCAACCCTATTACACCAAGTAACCAACGGTTACTGCTCAACCAAGAATAGAATCACCAAAATTACAAAGCAATCTACACTATATTTCACCAAAAATATCTATAACCAACAAATTACATACGAAAACTAAGAGTTTTCAGCGAGAACAGAGAGACTAAAATAAGAGAAAACCCTAGGCAATGCCTCGAACGTTCAGCAAATGAAGAGTCGGCCAAATAATACAAAAATATAGAAGCATCCAACAGTCGCACCACTTCCAAATGGCATCATCACAGCCTTTAAAAATAATAATGAAGTCGCATTTCAGCAAAAGGCGAGAATGCACAATATGGAAAAGGCAGCCATGTTGCGTTCCATTATTTGGGTTGGACTCGGTTTTAATTGGGCTGCATCATTGGGCCATCTAATAGGGCTACATCATTAGGCTGCCCAAAGTGTTAAGCATAATGTTTAACATTTGGGAATTTCAATTTCCCTTATTTGTTATGGAAAAAGAGGCACAAGGTCATATGGATGGAAGTGACCCAGCTCCTACTGAGCTTCCCAAGTTGGCTCAATGGAAGATTAAAGATGCTAGAGTGTTGGAAAATTTGGTTTTATTAGTTAGTTTGATCAATTTTTGACCAATTATTTTAGTGGGTCCTGTTAGTTGGACAAATTTTTTTTAGCCGAGTGTGTTTTATTCCATGAGTAGATTAATGTAATATATTTATTTTCTGAAAACCAATTTAGAGTGAATGAGAAATTAATGCCAAAAGATGACCACATGAAATTAAAATAAATTAAAATAAAAATTGATGGGAAATTGAAAAAATGAAAATCCTACATAGGATAGCTAGAAGAGTATAAATCATTTTATATTGCTCAAATTTGGGACTTGATTTTGGGCTCCAAGGAGTACATATTCTTTGAAGGGGAGAGAACCTACATACTAGTAAGTGGGGCCAAAGCCCACACGGGCGAGCCATCGTCCGTCCAACCGGCTAGGTACAGCACGGGTCATGGGGTTGGGCCAAGGTGATAAATATTTTTTGTAAAATAATATTTGAATTATATAATTTTATTATTATTTAAAAT